TCCGAGGTACTATTTCTGGGTTAGTGTTTTAAATAATTTTTATTAAAGTTTTAAACAACAAAGAAACAACACACACAAAAAGCAATACAAAACTCAACAATAAAAAAAACAAAAAAGTAACAATTAAAAACAAACTCTCTTTTCCATTCCATTTTTAAATTACTTATTTTCTGGACTTCCTCATACCTCCCTCTTTTGTATTCCCATCTAAATTATTTGTCCAGCAGTTTCTTTTCCACTTTTTTAATCCCAATCTTTAGTTTAATAAAATATTAAAATATATAACTTCAACTTCTTTAAACCTAATCCTTGATCTTAGTATCATATAACGTTAAAATTTTCCCTTTTCATATCAAATTTCCATTTCTTTAAACATCTTTAATCTTGATCTAATTCATTAACTTTAGCCTATGTAGCTGGAAGCCACTTATTTTCAATCCAACATCACTCTAACATTCCTTAACTTTGCAGTGTTTCTGAAGATAGTCTTTGAATTTCTTCCAGTCTTCCTCCATCGACTCTTCTCCCTGGTCACGGATTCTGCCAGTCATTTCCGCCAATTCCATATAGTCCATAAGTTTCATCTGCCATTCCTCCAGCATGGGAAGTTGTTGTGTCTTCCAATACTTTGCGATAAGTATTCTTGCTGCTGTTGTTGCATACATAAAGAAAGTTCTGTCCTTTTTTACCACCATTTGGCCCAGGAGAAAGGCCTCTGGTTTCTTGGGGAAGGTATACTTAAATACCTTTTTTAATTCATTATATATCATTTCCCAGAAAGCCTTAATCTTTGGGCACGTCCACCAAAGGTGAAAGAATGTACCTTCGGTTTCTTTACACTTCCAACATTTGTTATCGGGCAAATGGTAGATTTTTGCAAGCTTGACTGGGGTTATGTACCACCTGTATATCATTTTCATAATATTCTCTCTTAAGGCATTACATGCCGTAAATTTCATACCTGTGGTCCACAACTGTTCCCAGTCAGCAAACATGATATTATGTCCAATGTCCTGTGCCCATTTAATCATAGCCGATTTTACCGTTTCATCCTGAGTATTCCATTTCAGCAGCAAGTTATACATTCTTGACAAATTCTTAGTTTTGGGTTCTAACAGTTCTGTTTCTAATTTTGATCTTTCCACCTGGAAGCCAATTTTCCTGTCCATGCTTAATCCGAGGTACTATTTCTGGGTTAGTGGAGTCTGTAACCTGAAGCGTATGTAACCTGAAGCATATGTAACCTGAGGTACCACTGTACTCAGAGAATTTTTATCACCTGCTTTTGTTTTTAGCATTTACAACCCATCTTTCCTCCAAGTGTCTCAAGGTGGTTCTCTCCTCTTCATTTATATCCTCACAACAACCTTGTGAAGTAGTGTAGGTTTTTTATATCTTGCTGACATTTCTGTTTCTTTTATTGTGAACATTTTATAGTGTTCACTGTTTCCTTTCTTTTTGTATGTGACGTATGGTATCGGGTGGCCTCAAAGTTAGGTAAGTAAACTCCATCCTAGGATCCTCCAAAGCAATTTGAAGACACTTGAGGCACACCTCTGATGCTAAGCCAGATAGACAGAAGTGCAGGTCTTCAAAAACCTGACGAAACTCTGGATTTAGCTGTCACGTCATGTCTTTCTTCCCTGACACAATGTTTTATGACAGCCTTTCCTCTATAAATTTGGAGTGGAAAACCTGGTTTGAAAACGCCTTAAATCAACAGGGTGCAGGCTTGCACTCAGTTACACCCAAGTGCTTCCAGTAACACTTGTTTTCTTGCAATGTGTAGACATACTTTGGCAAAAACCTTATTCTCAACAGTACAATAGGGATTTTCATCTCTCCTTGTAGTGAAACCAATGTGTACGGTACAAGACCCAGCTGGAAAATGTGGGCTTAAATGGTGGATTTAATGAGGGAAGGGATGGGTTGCGAGGATGGGTAGGCATATAAGGGACACAACTAGAAATGTCCATAGCCCAGTAGGACCAGCTTATGTGAGAATTAGTGGGAGGTTCATTGCGTTTTTCCTGTGTGACCCCTGTGTTGAATTCTTCCCTCTCCCAAATAGGTTTGTATGTTTACACAGAACCGCTTAGCATCATGAATTTGCATTCTTACAAAAAATGAAATGCATCCTCTGCCATTATCTCAGGTCATCTCTTAGGAACCATAGGCAGCTCCCTTATACTGTTGGTCCATCTTACTTTGTATTGTTGATACTGACTGGAAGATGCTCTCCAGGGTTTCAGCTAGGGAGTCTCTCCCAACCATACCTGGAGAATCCAGGAGCTTTTGGATGCTTTACCACTGAGCTATCCCCCTTCCCCAAATAGTCCACATACACATTTCTTCTCTTCACATGCTTGCTGCCTCCAGATTTGTGTGGACAACAATGTGTAGATTAGTGGTAGGAAGGGAGTGTGGACCTTTCCTTCTTGGGATGCGACATGAGATTTCATTCTGTACATCATTAGTATCTCTTTCTCTCTCATTAATCCCAAGTGCTTTAAAAGTAGCTGCAATGAGTGTGGCGTACTTCAGATTTCAACAACTGCTGTAATTACTTAATGCAGAGCACTAACTCAGTAATTGCCCATCTTCACAAAAGCTTTGCAATTAAAGGGGGGGGAATATATTTAACAAAATTCATATATTGCTTGTTTTAATAAAACTTCTAAGTAGATTAGAGTAGACACATGTAACTTCTTTGCAATGTTAGAAATTAGCCAGGCACCAGGTGCATTTTGTGACTGGTGTGGGTCCAATTGCAACCACATGGAGATCTCTGGATGCCAGGTTGATGACTGGAGAAAGCAAAATGTCACTTACAGAAGGACCTGAAATAGTTTCCTTTGAATTTGTTTTATTCTAGATTGTTTTATTTGATGTTTTAATGTGTTGCAAACCACTTTGATGTATTTTCTTTAAAATATAAAGCAGTGTAGAAATGAAAACAACAACAAATCTAATTGCAAAAAACCCCCCAAACCACCTAGACATTCCATTGTGGCAACCATAACCTAGGTCTAAGGTGCCATTTGGCAATTAGATTATATATTTAAGTTTCTAATACTACTTCTACATGTCTGGATAGGCTTGTCCTAAACAAAAATATTTCAAGCAGGCACCAAAAAGAATACAGTGTAGAGGAAGGCAGTTCCTAAGCGTAGATGCAACAGCCTAGAAGCCCAATTTATTGCAAGCTTGGAATGAGTATTATGTGGCACCTGGAACAGTAACAGTGCTGCAGATCAAAGTGTTCAAGGGGGCATCCATAGGGTAGGGCAATCCTGCAAGTAAACTGGTCACAATACAGTTTTAAATACAGATAGTGATGCCTAGAATGTGGCCCAGTAACAAATCAGGTTCTATATGCTGATGGGGTCTTGGGAAGCTCCTCATAAAGGGCCAGTGTGGTGTAGTGGTTAAAAGCGGTGGACTCACAATCTGGCGAACCGGGTTTGATTCCCTGCTCCTCCACATGCAGCTGCTGGGTGACCTTGGGCTAGTCACACTTCTTTGAAATCTCTCAGCCCCACTTACCTCACAGAGTGTTTGTTGTGGGGGAGGAAGGGAAAGGAGAATG